CAAGCCCATTTCTCTAAGAGTTAAACATTTCAGATGACTACTTATTTTATTTTATTTATTTTTTTGAGACGGTCTTGCTGTGTTGCCCAGACTGGAATGCTGAAGTTGATCTCAGCTCACTGTAACCGCCACCTTCCAGGTTCAAGTGATTCTCCTGCCTCAGCCTCTGGAGTAGCTGAGATTACAGGTGACTGCCACCACGCCCAGCTAATTTTTGTATTTTTGGTAGAGATGGTAGTTTGCCATGTTGACCAGACTGGTCTTGAACTCCTGACCTCAAGTGATCCATCTGCCTCGGGCTCTCTAAGTGCTGGGATTACAAGCTTGAGACACTGCACCTGGCTTAACTACTTATTTTAAAAGAAATCTCAGGTATATAAAGTGAAGTGATATCTCAATGACAGCGGCAAAGTGGTCCAAACCTGAAAATGGGGGAGGGGAGAGAGAAAACACAGTGATCTCAACATCCTCCATCTAATTAGCTGGGGTGCTGCGGTGGGGGGCAGGAAACCAGGAGACAGGGAAATTTTATGTCCAACAAATAATTTATTCAGGACTTCTGAGACAGTTTCAACAATCTCCAAAATTTGTACTGGAAGCTTACTTTTCAGATTTCATAAGTGAAATAAAATTAGAAGATATCCTTCAACACATGTGCACAGGCTCACCAGGGAAGTTTCCCTTCAGCTTTATTAAGGTATAATTGACAAATAAAATTGTATATATTTATATGTGTAACATGATGATTTGCTATCTGAATACACTGTGACGTGATTAAATCAAGCTAGATAAGTTTGTTGGGTTTTGTTTTGTTTGTTTGTTTGTTTGTTTTTTTAAGATGGAGTCTCACTCTGTCGCCCAGGCTAGAACACAGTGATGCCATCTCTGCTCACTGCAATCTCCACCTCCCAGGTTCAAGTGATTCTCTTGTCTCAGCCTCCCGAGTAGCTGGGACTACAGGCTTGTGCCACCACACCCGGATAATTTTTTGTATTTTTAGTAGAAATGGGATTTCACCATGTTTGGGATTATGGGCTTGAGCCACCACGATCGGCTGGGAAGTTTTTAAAGGCAGAAAAACAGGCATCTTAGTATTCAAGGGGCGCTGAAGAAGTCGTCTTGGCCTCTGACCTTTCACGAGGGTCAGATGATACAAAATGCCAAGGCCAGATGGGATGGAATAACTCAAACAAGTAGCAACTTTCACAATCAGGGAAGCCTCTTGAAACCTCTCCGGTGGCAGGAAGCTAAACCTACTTCCTCTTCTTGCTGGTCAGAGGATCCAGTCTCCAGGCTGGCTCATAGCCTTTCAGATTATTTGCAGATTGCCTTAGTGCTAAAGTAGGGAAGGATTTTTGTCATTGAGTCCAGTGTTTCCTTCCCACATACGCCTACCACCTCGGGAGGCTTTGATTCAGTATATGTGGGGTGGGACTTGGAATTCATTTTTATTTATTTTTTAATTAAAAAAATTTTTTTTGAGACAGAGGCTTACTCTCTCACCCAGGCTGGAGTGCAGTGGTGTTATCTCGGCTCACTGCAACCTCTGCCTCCCGGGCTCAAGCAATTTTTCTGCCTCAGCCTCCTGAGTAACTGGGATTACAGGCACGCACCACCACACCTGGCTAAATTTTGTATTTTTAGTAGAGACAGGGTTTCACCATGTTGGCCAGGCTGGTCTCAAACTCCTGACCTCAAGTGATCTGCCTGCCTTGGCCTCCCAAAGTGCTGGGATTATAGGAGTGAGCTACAGTGCTCATCCTGGAATTCATTCTTAGATCTGGACCCCAGGGCATGTACAAGAAGCCTCACTTTAGTGCTAAGGAATGGGAATTGCCTAGTTGTTTCATCACCAGTGGAGTGGAGGAAGCATATGGGGTGGATGCAGCCTAGGGGAGACGAGGCAGCCCCGGGGAGCCACGGACTAGATGCACACATTGTAAAATGGCTGGATTTCCAGAACAGTGTGGAGTCGGAAAAGTAGACAGAAGTAAATTCTCTATGTAACACCATTTGTATAACAATTATGTGCATGAAACAACACTGCATGTAAAGAATCCCTCATGTTTAAAGAAATATATTGAACAGGAGATGGGAATGGGTATTTTGGAAGAAAGAGAAAATATGAAGAGAGAGGGCCTTGCATTGACTGAGGATGATAGTGTGGAAAGCACTGAGGAGCATGGCTAACTAGACTTTTTGCATCCAACCTTCAAAAAAAGAAAGAAAAAAAGTGATTGGAAGTAATGACAATGAATTGCTCCCAAGGGGCTCTGTGGTTCAGCCAAGCTCCACCCTGAAGTGGGCTGACTTTACTTCACAGATACCATGGAGGCCCCAGCGAGGAGAAATGTTCTCTTAGAAAGGGTCACCCTCTTCTCTTTTCTCCCACCACTCACCTTTCCCTTCAGCCCATCATTATTAATAATAATTATTTTCCCACAGCTCTTATTTCCTAATTGTTAAACCACTGTCACGAAGCACTAAGGTTGGCATTTGGCTGAAGAGAGTGGCAGGAAAGGACCACATTGGTCGACTCTGCAACATGCATGATTATCTTCTCTCTTCGATTTTTGGTGTTGGTTTATGGCCTTGAAAACCAAGACCAAAAATGCTAAGCACACAGTTTCCATTTCATTTCTGTTCAGCTTCCATTCACTAAGTACTTACTATGTCCAAGGTACTTGGCATACAAGTGCCCTACCTAAATCATCTCATTTAACTTGTACTGAAAACTCAGTGATATCTGTTCCCATTCTCTAGATGACTGAAGCTTAGAGAGGTTGTGTACCTTTTCACATGGCAGTTGAACTTAACCTTCCAGGGGAGTATCACCCCAATTGGGACTACCATGAATCATCAAATCAAAGGATATTTATTAATTTTTTATCATATTGGAAGGAATTTTTAAGAATGGTCGAACTTTGGTTGGCATCCAAGTGGAAAGAAATGAATCAAGTTCTGTCCTCACTGAGTGCCTGTAACATCTAGCCATTCTTGTGTTTGAGATTGAGAACATATTCAAAGAACTTAAATACTCCTTTGAAGCATGGGGCCACATTTAGGTAGCACCCATTTCTTCTATGTTCTGTTGGAAATCCATGTCACTAAGATATTTCGTTCTATGAAAACTGAGCGATAGGAGTGGCAGGTTGCTTCATGTCTGCTACTGTTGTTGATAATGCTTTCATGTCTGGGCATATGCAATGGCATGATAGTTTGGTTTCCACCCGAGAGTTATCTGTTCATAAATTATTTTCATATTTCATAGCCTACAGTCTGTAAATATCTAACTGACGAGCACCTGTATGTTAGCCCAGTAAAAAACTATGCATCTAAATGGCTCAAGTAAACATATCCAATTTAGAAGCACTGTCAGCAGGGGAGAATTTTCAAATGCAGTCACAGGGCATGGTGTTACTTCTACAGAAGTGTGGCTTTTAAAGGAGGTCACTAGTGTTGCCACACCAGTGTCTTCACTTCTAAGTCTAAACCTTTTATGTTGTATGTATCACCTGCTTCCTAACTGGAAATTCAAGAAAGCAGTCTTCATCTTAAAATAAGTTGAGGGATATGCAGTGATCACTGGACTTAATTTAGCACTTTGAAATAAAGAACATATCCGTGGCTCACAGTGTTTAATTCAATTCTGTGGCTTTACTCAGTGGCTCTTCCTCTCCCTCCCTTCTTTTTTTTTTAAATTTCTTTTTAAATTGCCCTTTTCTTCATTATGCTGCTTCTGGTTATTTACAATATATATACATACAACACAAATGCATTCTCCCTGGCTAACCTTTACGTGTATGACTTTTATGCAATAGTCACATTCTTCTAGAAAAGAGAAATTATTGCTATTTGCCCACTAGCATCCACCTAGGAGATCATCTATCTATCTATGCCAATTAAAAAATATCCAGTTCATAAAAAGGGTTGGTAAATCTTCAGCTTGCAGATAAACATTCATTTCAGAAGTGCTGCCCTCATAAAACTGTTTCCAAACTCAAGATTTACTTTTTCTCAAGATTTGATTTTTCTCCCTCTGAACAGTAGTATTCATTCTGCCTAGCCAATGTCACAGTGATGAAACACTGAATTTTGACAACTAATATACCGTACATTGGAAGCAAGCATGAAAAAACATCTTAGAAACATTGGACTTTTCCTTTTGAGTGTCCATAATGAAAATATTCGAGTTCCGTCTAGACCGGTAGGATCTGTGGTTCTCAAAATGCCAATATATGACACTTTGCTGAGGTTATACAAAAGAAAAAGAATGCCAACATAGCGGTGCTGAAATCCCTGATGATTTGCCAGACGTTACCCCCAGAAACTTAGACCAAGACTTTCCACAGGTAAGAAGAAACTGGTATGCTTTATGTAAAAGGTGCCATGATTGGGACCACCCATCTTTAAAAGGTGGCAATGTGTTGGAAATCTCATTGTCTTCTTTCTACAGCTATTTCTTACAGTGATTAGCACCTTCCCACGGAGTTATAGGTAACTCGTCACTCAGAAAAGTCCCTCAATGAAATCCCACTGGAGACTTCCTTCCCTCTGAGCTTGGGCAACATTATATTACCTAGAAGTCCAGAAATTGTAAATAAAGTTTCACAAAGGCTTTCTCAGACCTGCTTTTAAAGAAATCTTTCATGAACCCAGCAACTCAGTCCTTTCACTTAACTGCTGGCAGAAATTATTCAGACCCAGGTTATAGTAAGTCCTTTAGGATAGATGTCATTTCTTCCCCCAGGTAGCACTATGTCTAGTGATATACTACATTAGCAAGAGCAAAGCGTCAGGCACTTCATTTACATTATGGCACTCGAATCTTGGCTGATAATACCAAAACCAAAAACGACAGTCATTCAAGCTGCTTTGTTACCAGGGCATGCACCAGTCCCCATGATCCAGCATCTTTAAAGTTTTGATAGTTAAAAAAAAACTGTTAAATTACACACACAATACATTGTCCGTCCTTAAAACAAAACCAGAGGCATTTTTAGCTAAACAATTTTATTGGCTTTTTTGTGAAATAAAAAACACACGACAAACCACCATGGTTAAAGGCCATGATCAGCATCAACCAAATGAACCAGCCACTTGGTTACAGTAGCTGATAACAACACTAGTGGATATTATTGCTTATACCCCAAGTTCATTTATATGTCCATTACATTTTGGCAAGATTACAATCAAATGGGAGCTTTGGTTGTAAAAATTGAACTATGACTACTCATTGAAAACTCAACTTCTACCATTTTATAATGGGATACATGTCAGTTTTTCTGCATCTTGACATTTATACCCTCCTTCTGTCTCCTTTTTCCTTCCATTAATAAGATTTACAAGCCTACTGAAAAAAATTAAGGTGGATGCATTTATAACTATCCCTACTCTACTGCCTCCTCTTTTGTCCTGACGGGGTGATGCATTTCTGGGCCTCACCAAGATCTTCTATCTGGTGTGTTTCCACTGCCAGTAATAAATGCCCATCTGTAATCTAGATAGACTTTCAAATGCATATGGCTGTCAACATTGGGGTTTGGACTCAACTGTCTCATTTCCATCTTCTGAAAAGCTAGAAGAAAAAATTAAAACAAAACCCACAGCCCTTAGCATTGATAAGTTGATCTCCAACAGAATGAGCCTCACCCCCTGCCATATAACATCCCATGGCAGGTGTGGAGCTGTGGCCTTAAAATGCTCTCTGTGTGTGCTGTAACATTTTAATTTACAGACACGCAATGACTGACTGCCTACCGAAAGCTCCCCACTCTCACACTTTCTAGTTTAATACTGAAAACTCAGAATGAGAAAGGGTCAGAACTAACTCACAATAGCACCATTTCTGAGACTCTTGGAATTAGATTCCGTTCTGTGTAGGAGAACACAGGTGCCCGGCCTCCAGCTTTGTGCTTTCACAGGCTCCCAATGCATTTCAGCAGAAGTGGGTGGTCTGCCTCAGCCTACTTCTGCAGCAACATGAATTTTCCCTGGGAAGAGTTAAAAATATGGGTCTTACAAAGTGAAGTTGGCCACAGGTGAGAAGCCTGAGGAAGCCTGTTTCTGGTGGTGAGATGTGACAAGCCTGTAGTCAGCAGGAGGGAGTCCAGGGACCTTTTCCCTTGCCCATCCCGATTCAAGTCAGTGAAGAATCTGCATGCAGAAGCATGGCAATTTCAAGGAATACTGAGAGACGTAAACCCTAAATCCAGCAATCTGAACACCAGCGCTCTAATGGTATCTTATGTATTCAGGTCCACCAGTGAGTTTGCCCTGGATAATGCTGGGATTTAATAAGCCCTTCTAATGGTTATAAAGATTATCCTCTTGAAACTAGACATTGGAAACAACAGAATATTTGATATCACTATATTTTACATGGCACATATAACCATATAATTACCAGCACTTAACACGGCAAATATTGTAAATACACGTTCTTGGAGTTGACTTGGTGATAACACCAATGTTATTCGGCAGAACAAAGATTAAACACTCTCCAATTTGCACTTTGGGGGATTTCAGTCCCCCGCTTCCCTTCACAACAAAAGGATAACCTTCTAATTATAGAATAATGCTCGGTGGTCACGTGGGCAAAGAGAATCACAGGGTGACTTCATAGTCAATTGTGGCCTGTAAAATAAAGTAATACACAGTATTTTCATTTCAACAAAATACAAGAGACCATATAAAAATATTTTCCAATTTGGAATCAGAAACATGATAGCTGGATTTTTTTCTTTGTATAAAAAGAAACAAAATAACACACTAAAGTTTGTTAAGCCTCCTAACAACAACAAAAAATACATATCAGTTTAAGGAATGCAGTGAGAGTCAGCTTCCCTTTTTGTCCAGGCTCATGGATGGTGAGCTTGTGCTTTGATCCTAACAAAGATAAATGCACAAAAGTGGAGGAAGGTCAGTGCCTGAAACCTGAACTATGTTGTATCTCTAAGAAGACTAATTTTACAGTAGTGCTTTGAAAAGTGGTGGATCGGGTTACTGATTTTTTTCTCTCTCTTCCTTTTCAGGCCACTGCTGGAGATGAATTCCAGAAGCACCACTTTCGTCTTGAGTGATGCTTGTTTAGTGCAATATCTTCCTTCTCTCGTTCCCTTTTCACTCGTTGGTAGTGATCTTCTTCCTTCAGGTACCACACAGGGGGCCAGCGGTGTCGCTCGAAGTATTCCTGGTTGTCTGGTGAAGGAAAGATGCAGACAATAAGACCTGTGGTTCATTGGTTCTTTCTACGTGCTAGGCCTTGTGCTTAAAGCTCGAATATCCTCTCAAAAGCGTGATGTGGCAGGGACTGTGATCAGGGCCCTTTGTAAAAGGTGACACTAAAGTTTTGAGAGGAAGAATCTCTTGTGTGTAGTCATGCAGCTGGGCATGAACCCAGGACCACCTGACTTCAGAGTCTAAGCCTGCTCCTAAGCTTGCCTCCCTAAACAAGGGAAAGCCCACCACCTCTGCACTCTCTGCACCTGGGCATCCTGGACTCCAGCCCACCCAACTCCCCTAAGCATCTAGTTCTCCAAAGAGAATTCCCAGCCTTCATTTCCCTATGCCATCTCGCGTGACTGTGTGACCACCAGTCAGTCTCAAGGAATTTTCCATGAGCTGCCTGCTGTGTTCCTTCCAGGGAGACAGAGGATAAAAGCTTCAGTCGGAGGTGAGGAGAGATGGATGAATGGGGTCCTCGCACAGTCTCACCTGCAGATTTTGATTTGATTTCCTTGCGGAACTTGGAGCAAACACTGTTGTAGTTGGTGCAGATGTGGTGCAAACACCAGGCGGCCAACTGGTGGGCATTGTGAAACTGCAGAAGAGTGAGCAAAAGGAGGGTAAGACTATTTTCTAAAGAGGGACTACAGAGAAACTGGGGGAGCCATGGTAAAGGCGAAAAGAAATTAGGGGCTTATATAACCAATTCTGTAAACCTCTTGTTTTGACCTCAATGTTTTGACTTTGACCATGGCTCCGATGCCAGCCAATGTAGTGTTGGGCACACCCCTCCCTTCCCTTCTGTCCTAGGTGCACCAAAAATAATTGCTGTATCAAATCACGAGTTTAAAGTATGCCTCACCTTCCCACCCTCCCCCACCACCTGCCCCTCTAGTGCTAAGCAAACCTGGCCTTTGGAAGGCACCAGCCCACAGCAGAAAGCAGCGATGACATCTCTGTTTAAGGAAGCCTTGGCAATGGAATACTTCGTGTCGCATGTCAGAGCTCAGCTTGCCTGGGCCAAGATCCGAAAGAGGAGACTGCAGAATGTGTGACTGTCCTATACCTGTCCTTCGGTTACATAAGAGCGGGCAGTATGCGCAGGGTGGAGAGCTCCAAATGCTCCACCCTTCCTTTCTGAGCAATGCTCAGGAAGGTGGCAGCTGAGGTAGCTGTGACTGAAAAAGCCTTGACTCAAAAATTGACTGTCAACTCCCCCATTCCCTCCCCAGACCTGGTGGGACTGCTGCTGTCCCTCACTCTTTCTGACTGTGCCCTTCTCTGACATTCCTTCCATCAATAAGAGTGTCTTGTCAGGTAGAACCCTACAACCTATAGCATGCTTCTTCTGTGGCCCCATATCTCTACCATGAGACCAAAAGAAAAACCAGAGGCCTCAGAAACCCACTCAAGAGGCTCACTGAAAAATCACAACCCAAACATCAGAGACAGTTTTAGCTGGTGCTTCAACCTCTCCTGCTGTTAGATTTCTTTCTGAAAACAAGACTGGGGCAGTGTTCTGCCGGGCAGGCTTGCTCCAGCCTGAGAGAGCCGACTGTGTGCCTTTCTTCCCTACTTTGAGTTTAGTGACTTCATAGGTCGTAATCAGCCATGATGGGATTATTTATACCATAGAAATTGGCAAATGCAACAGACTGGAGTCCCACTTGCCCCCATGCTGACTGTTAAAGACTTACCAGCACATCATTGGGTTAGGGTCTAATGAATGAGCTAAGACTTGGGAGAATCCATCCTAAGCTCTTCCTGCCAAGGCTTGTCAGGGCTTAGCAATTATCATATTATTTCCTTGTAGTGGGGGTGTGTGTTGGGGGGTGGATAGGGTGGGAACACAGTGCAGAAAATGGACACAACTGCAAATCATTCCCTCAAGTGAATGGTCTTGATACGAAATTCTGGATCATTGCATTTTTTTCTAGGAGGAATACTTCCTGGAGAGAGTACAAGTTATAAACCATCCCCCAGAACTGTTTCAAAAGACCCCAAATTCCAAGTGCGGACAATCAGTTTTGATGGGCGCTTGCTGATTCGACTGCATTAGATGTCTGTTCTCAGTTTCACTGTAATCCCTAATTGGATTTTAACAATTTGTATTTGTGTCTGTTTCCCTTGCCTATGATTGCCCTAGGGCAGAGGATCTACTGTTTATATGTACATGTCCTTTGCCTAGGGTGGTGCCTGGTATTTGGGGAGAAAAATATCTAATATTTGTTGAATGCTAAGTCAAAATGAACAGGTCGCTGTAAAGTTCCATTCTGCCTTTTCCCCCTTATGCACCTGAGCCATCTCCTTTGGCCACAGTAAGAAGGGCCTGAGCAGCACCTGCTAAGTGCCACCTCCTCTCCCTTGATTGAGAAATACTGATTTAAATGGACTGATCTAAGACTTAGTAAGCTGTTGTCTTAACTGAAAGAGGGAGAACAGGAAGCCAAACCTAACAGGCTGAAGAAAAGACTGAGGAATTTATTCTTAGTTCCCTCAGAGTGTAAATTCATTGTTAATCAGCCTATGCCAGGGACTAGATAATGCTGCAGATGTGCCTGGCATTCTAAGAGGGCTTACACTCTTCAGTGTTCGCTCTTGAACATTCTCTCCCACCTGATTCTCAAAATAATCTGGAAGGTTGGTAGGATGCAAATTGTCATCCCATTTCCTGTGAATGAGGAAAATGAGGCAGAGTTTCACTTGTGCTTTGAGAAAGTTACTCCAGGGTGAAGCTGAAGTTGAATCTTGGACCTTCTCTGGAAGAAGAGTGAAAGTCTGTACTGGGATTACGTTATTACAATCTCAATACTAGCAACTACTGACTTTAAAAAACTCCAGGACAGCTGCAGTGAGATGTTCATTAACAGTGGGGCATTACAGGGCTTCATGGAATTCTAGAAACTGTTCTTGGCCAAATATGTGTCTAAGAATTCAAAGAAGGAGGAGAGACAAAACCTCCCCCTATCGTGCCCCAAAGTGGTTCTTCCACATGTGAAGCTGGTGCCTTAGGGGACTATGGGACTGGCGTGGGGGTGGGGTCCTTGTTGTTTATTCAAATGAAGCCCAGCAGGCTGAATGGTACTTGAAAGGTAAAACTCTCAGATTTTCTTAGTGTACACAGGGGGCCTCTGTGACTCTGTGGTGACATCTTTATTTAGACAGGTGCAACAGTGGAATGTTTCATCAGCATTAAGCGAACTGATTGAACACACTTAAAAGGTGAAAAGCAAACTGTTACAAACCTGGGCCAGTTCCAAGTAAGAGAGCACTTCTCCGTCAATGCCCATGCCACTCATGGCCGCCTTGGTCAGCTCCTGAACAGCATGCTGTTCTGGGGAAGAAAGAGGGGACCGGAGAACGTTAAACCACACCCTGCAAGCTGGAGAGCTTGCCTGGGACCACTTAAGAAGGGAAGAAATGTGGGACACAGCTCTCGGCAGCTATCTGAATTGAATCCAGAAGCTGCTCTGGTGTGTGATCTCTCACTACTTGGGGTCTGGTCCCAGCAACTTCACCCACATCTCTGGGGACTCTTGTTCATGCCTCTGAAATAGCCAGAATCCTCCAGACCTGTAGTGTTCTGTGCAGGATGGTAAGGATGGTAGCTCCTGGTCACATGAGACTATTTAAACTTAAATTACTTAAAATTAAATAAAATTAAAAGTTCAGCTCTTCATTCACGCTAGCCACAGTAAGTGCTCAACAGCCACATAAGGCCACTGTTTGGACCATCCATATATGAAATGTTTCCATCATTGCAGAACGTTCCACTGGAAGGAGTGGCTCTAAACAGTCTAGCACCTTCTTAAAGTCCCCTAGACTTTAGACACGTTCCTGTTTGACAGTTTCCCCACTCACATCACCGCAATCCTTGATCCCCCTGACAGTGGAGTGACTGAACAACAGAGGAATGAGTCTATTTGAGGAATTAAAAATGTGACTGTGTACGTCTGTCTCAACAGCTACAGAGAGATGACATATTGTTCAGCCTCTTGGATTCTAAAGACTGGGGAGACCTGCAGTCAGAAGTAACAAAAATGCAGTAGGGAGAGCCATTTGTGCTTGGGAGCTTGAGCCCGAGGCTTCCAAGCTGAATTTAAATTGTGGTCTGAAGCTAGGCTATCTCTCGGCTTTTTTTTTTTTGCTTGTGTGGGAACAAGGGTTATATGAAAACTGTCTGTTCTTCCTGCTTAACTATGTTGTGAAACTAAAACTGCTCTAAAAAATAAAGTTTATTAATTTACAAAAAGAGAGTGGAAGTTCCAGTTCAACATCCATATCCTTAAGCCTACATTTGAGAAGTTATTTTCTTGCCTTTACTAATTACAAGTTGAAATGGAGGAAGAGAGCATGCTCCTGTCTTTTGGGGGCCACCTATAACGTAAAGGACTGTCTGAGGAGGAGTAGTTATTTCTTTTTATTTTTAGAAAGAAAGAAAAAAAAAGGAGTGAAGGAGAGGAAGAAAGAGGAAGAAAAAGAGGGAGAGAAAAAGGGAATGTAGCTTTATTCTAAAAATGGGTATTAATAATGGCCGATCAATATTTTGTGTCTTTAAGGTGGAGAATGTATATTTTGTGTATTTAAAATGGAGAGCTCTATAAATATTTATTGAGTTTACCTGTTCCGGATCTGAGTTCAAGTCCTGGATATCCTTATTAATTTTCTGTCTTGTTGAGTCTAAATCTCTTTATGAGTCTTATGTATCTGGGTGTTAGGATCATTAGCTCTTATTGTTGCATTGATCCTTTTACCACTATCTCTTTGTTGCTTTGAAATCTATTTTATCAAATGTGAGAATTGCAACTCCTGCTTTTTATTTATTTATTTATTTTTGCTCTCCATTTGGTTGGTAAATCTTTCCCCATCCCTTTGTTTTAAGTCTTTGTGTATCTTTGGATGCGAAATGGGTCTGGCTATAGCATATCATTAGGTTTTGGCTGTATCTTTTGATTGGGGGATTTAGTCGACTTAAATTTAGGGTTACTGCCATTTGATGTTAACTGGCTATTTTATCCATTCATTGATGTAAATTCTTCTTTATGTTGATGCTCTTTACTTTTTGGTATATTTTTAGAAAGGCTAATACTGGTTGTTCCTTTCTATGTACAATGCCTCTTTCAGAAGCTCTTGTAAAGCCAGTCTGGTGGTAATAAAATCTCTGAGTACTTGCTTGTTCATAAAAGATTTTATTTTTCCTTCAATTGTGAAGCTTAGTTTGGCAGGATATGAAATTCTGGGCTGAAAGTTCTGTTCTTTAAGGATGTTGAATATCGGCCCCCACTCTCTTCTGGCTTGTAGGGTTTCTGCTGAGAGATCTGCTGTAAGTCGAATAGGCTTCCCTTTGTGGGTAACCTGACCTTTCTCTCTGGCTGCCCTTAGTATTTTCTCCTTTGTTTCAACCCTGGTGAATCTAACGATTATGTGCCTTGGGGTTGCTCTTCTTGAGGAATATCTTTGTGGTGTTCTCTGTATTACTTGGGGTTGAATATTGTGCTGCTTTGCTAGATTTGGAAAGTTTTCCTGAATAATATCCTGAAGAGTATTTTCCAGCTTGGATTCATTCTCTTCGTCATATTCAGGTACACCTATCAAACGTAAATTAGGTCTTTTCACGTATTTCTTGGAGAATTTGCTCATTCCTTTTTATCCTTTTTTCTCTATTCTTGTCTTCTCGTTTTATTTCATTAAGTAGGTCTTTCACCTCTGATATCTTTTCTTCTGCTTGATCAATTTGGCTATTCAAACTTGTGCATATTTCGCTAAGTTTTTGTGTTGTGTTTTTCAACTCCGTTAGTTCATTTATATTCCTCTCTATATTGTCTATTCTTGTTAGCATTTCATCAAACCTTTTTTCAAAGTTCTTAGTTTCTTTAATTGGGTTAGAACAAGTTCTTTTAACTCCCTGAAGTTTCTTATCATCCACCTTCTGAAGCCTACTTCTGTTAATGGCACACAGTCCTTTTCCATCAGGGCTTGTTCTGTTGCTGGTGAGGAATTGTAATCCCCTGTAGAGGGAGAGGGGTTCTGATTTTGGGTATTGTCAGCCTTTTTAGGCTGGTTTCTTCCCTTTGTTATAAATTTATCCATCTGTTGTCTTTACAGTTACCGCCTTTCTAGCTGGGTTTCTGAGTGGATGCCCAGTTTATTGATTTCCAGTGCTGGAATCGAAGCAACCTACTGCACCGGCCAAAACAGCAGCGATAAGACTGATGGTGCTCTTCTGCCCGGGAATCTCCTCCCGTTTACTCTGCACGAAGAGCTGCCACGCTGAGGTGCCGGCAAAACTGCTCCTCCACTGGGAGTCTTCTGGTCCGTGAGTGACGAAAATTCGTCTGAAAGTGTGGTGTCCTCTCGTTCTCTGAGCTTTCACTGGGATCTACAATCCTGAACTGTTATTGATCAGCCATCTTGGATCTCTTGGCTTTGTAAAGTCTGTCATCCACCTCTGAGACTGATGTGTGAGAGTACAGCCTTGGCTCAGCATTTCTAGGTCTTTGACATTGATGTCATCTGTAGCATTGCATTTGTTCTTCTAATCCAGAACATTGTCCAAATCATGTTTACTCCAGCGCTGCATGCTTGTTGGTCAGCATGCCTGCATCTGATCGATACAGTATTGGGAATGGAATGATTTCTTTGGCACAAACTTCCTCACCTGGATTAGACTATTTGGAACTTAATTTTCCAAAGAAGTCATTTGGGCTTTGTCATTTTAAGTAACTGCAACATTTATTGACATTTATTTAACTTTGGCTCACAAAGCATTGCCATTCTAGAAACTGATTTTTAAACACTATGTTCTAAATACTGTATACTAGAAAGTACATAGCAAATACTATAAAGGATTAAAGGAGTCATCTTGGGAAGCTGTATATTAAATAATCATAATAGTAATGACAACATTTAATAGCTGTATTAAATGTTCATAGAAGCCTAGAGTTCACAAGAGAAGCTTTATTTGGGTCAGTCAAAAAAAAAAAAAAAAACTTTCATGGAAAAATCAATCCCATGTTTTCATTGCCAGACTTAATATTTAAGCAAAAATGATACTCGTCTGAGACTGATCACAAACCTTATTTAGCAGATTTGGCTCCAAATTACTTTTGACAATTTCAAAAAATAAAATAAAATAAAATAAAAATGTATCCTCAGGACAGTGTTATAAAACCTGTGGATAGTTAAATGTCTTGGAACTTATGTTTCTGAAAAAAGTAATTGCCCACTGAAGCCTCCCAGAGTGAGTATTTTAAAAAACTAGTGCACTCCTTTGGATCTATTAGGTATATTGGTTAAAAACAGTTTTTAAAATAAATCTAATATCGATGCCTCAACTCGCTCTTCTATCCAACTGGGGAGGAAGTAGGGCAAAGAGAGGACTTTGATCTCCAGGTGGTTGTGTGTAGAAACCTGGAGGACAGAGAAATTAATCTTTTTTTTTTTTTTCCAAAGACTTTGCCAGAAAGTCAAGTGCAGATAGGACTGGTTGGTTTGTTCATATATTCATCTTCATTCATTCAATTGTTTAGCAAATATTTATCAAAAGCTAATATGCTCAGGCACTCAGAAGAAAGGCCAGTGAACAAGACAGTCTTTTATCTCTGCTTTGATGGTTAGTAGGAATCAAGTAAACATAATGATAAACACCCAGCAATCCGGCTGAAGATCTGAATTCAAGAGAAAGGCATTTAAGTACATATATCCTATAGAGCCTGCTTCCCAACTGAACAAATCTAGAAATGATACATAAGATTTTGTGAAGTTAAGCCAAGTTTCCCTTTTTTGTCTTTCTCCCAAAATGAACTTGACAATGTCAGAACATTTTCTAAAATAGCTTTAAGAAAACCACTTACATAATGCTACTATGCGCCAGACGCTGTTCTAAGGACTTTATATTTTAACTCATTTAATCTTCATCACAGCTCTATGGCTGAATAATATTAGCCCCATTTTAAAGAGTGAGAAAGATGAGACACAGAGCTAAGGTTACAGGACAAAGTCAGCTGGTCAGTAAATGGTAGAGCCAGGGTTTGATCTTAGGCAATCTGGCTCTGTCATCTGTGCTCCTAAACAGGGCATCTATTGCCTTCTTCTTAAAGACTGTGTCTGGGCACTTACTATGGAGATAATGTTGATAAAATAGTTTTGTTTCAAACTCGGGGTGCACAAATGACTCAGCATGCATAGAGCATGTGCCTCAAGGGCAGGAGTCATGCATTACTCTCCTTCATGATTGTATCACCTCGGGGTGCACAAATGACTCAGCATGCATAGAGCATGTGCCTCAAGGGCAGGAGTCATGCATTACTCTCCTTCATGATTGTATCACCTAACCGGGCCCACCACAGAGGGGGTGCTTAAGAAATATTTGTTGAATTGAATTGGGCTGTCTGATACAATCTGATTAGTTCATATCATTCTCTACAAGACAGTCCTATTTGGGGTGATAAAAAACCAATTTTTAATCCCTGGAAGTCTTATTTTTATTTAAATGTGATTTTGATAAATATGAGAGACACTGCATGGCCCTGAGTCATCAGCCTTACCTGCAAGCGCAACCAAGTGTGGCAGGCAAAATCTGTTTGCCAAGGCAATTAATTCCAGCGGGTCCAGGTCCAAGTTAGGAGACAACTGCTTGGTATAGAGATAATCCAATACTGCTTGCATTGATATCTTGTTTATGTGCGGGAGATACACCTGAAATATTAAACAAAAAGCTAAATTCTGCTGCAGAAAGCAGGGAGTGGGCACATTTTCAGGCAATGCTGCTTATAAATATCCTAACTGTGTGATTTGCGATTGGTGAGTCTTGGACACCTGCTTTGAGGCTGTGCATAGGAATCCTTCTGTATTTATGACTCTAAATATAATGCTTTGATTTGCAGATGACAAAAGAGTGGAGCTGCCTGACACAGCCTGATGTGGAATTTTTAAATAACTATTTGGACTTATAAATCAGACAAATGGGCTGGAAATGTATGACGACATGAGGGGCCCTCATCCCTCATGCTGAGCACCTTATAATACTCTATTGTGGGGAAAGAAATCTCCTAGCAACATGACAGGTGTTGGGGGGAGCTGCAAACCACACTGTTTCTGACACGATGGAGCCTAGCTCTCCAAGACGTCAAAATGGGAGGAGCCGCCACCCTAGCTGCCACAGTGACCAGCTTGATTTCCACATTCTGTTGGCAGGTGCACAATACATTACAACCTACTACACAATGTATACACTTCATTGTTTTTTCCTACAACCACCTGGATTCAGAACTACTGGAACATTAACAGTTATCAGTAGATTCAGAGAATTCAAAGGAGTCCTTGCTTGGGACTTCCAGGGGAGTAAGACTGGGTACAGGGGAACTGTGCTCTGTAGGATTCCCACAGTTTCACTCCTGAGTGCCTGTAGTTGTCCATATAAATGCATGCTAGAGTTTGCTAGAGAGCCAGGGACTGCCTGGGAGGTGGAGTGCTGGATAGGTGGGCATGGATCTACGGAGATGTACACTGTGTACAGTTACTCTTTATTTTAGGTCTCTCACTCCATGAGACAGGCCCTGGAGTAGTTCAGAAGGGTACCACTTGGTTTACAATTGTAATGTTGACAATTATTAACCTTATTAATGTTGACAAACATTAACCTTAATTGAAGGCATCCTACGTACCAGGCACTGCGCCAAGCTTTCCACACACATTCTTCACTCTGATGCTTATATCTACCCTAGAGAGAAGAGGCTTACTTTTGCCATTTTACAGAAAAGACAATGGAGGTTCAAGGAGGTTAATTTAAATCTTGTGTCCAAGGTCACATAGCTAGGAAGTAGTGTCTGGGATTTAAACCCAGGGAGTATGATGTGGAAGTATATGTTCAGAATTGCTGTGCGGTGCAGGAAACTTTGAATGCCAAGGTAGCAAAGGTTTGCGTTACAGAACAATGAAGCATCATATTTTATTAATGGTTTTTGAGAACTCTACTTCAAAAAATGAACAATTATGAACTTCTTTTTCTTTCTTTTTTATTTTAAATTTTTGAGACAGGGTTTAACTCTGTTTCCCAGGGTGAACTGCAGTGGTTTGATGATAGCCTGGGCCTGCGTCCAAGCAATCCTTCCACCTCCATCTCCCTAGTAGCTGGGACTACAGACAGTGCCTCCATGCTGGCTAATTTATTTTATTTTATTAAATTTTTTTTTTGTATAGAGACAGAGGTCTTGCTATGCTACTCAGACTGGTCTCAAACTCCTGGCTTCAAGTGGTCCTCCTGTCTTGGCTTCCCAAAGTGCTGGGATTAAAGGCATGAGCCACTGTGCCTGGCCAGTTATAAACTTTTTTAATTCTAGTACTTAATAAACCTCTATACAACATATAAAGATATACATCTTTATAACATGATTACATCTATATATTGTATATGATTGCACCTCTCTCTCCATTTACATGCACGTGTGCATGCGCATGCACACATACACATACACACTCAGGCACATGCGCAGAGTCAGCCCTCTATATCTGTGGGTTCCACATCTGCGGATTCAACCAACTGTAGATCAAAAATACTTGAAAAAAAAAAGGCACGATTGCTTCTGTACTGAACATGTATAGAGTTTTTTCTTGTCATTATTCCCTAAGCAATACAGTAAAACAACTACTTACATACCATTTGCATTGTATTAGGTATTAGAAATACTCTAGAGATAATTTAAAGTATACAGGAGGATGTATATAGATCTATGCAAATACAATGCCATTTTATATGAGGAACTTAAGCATTCATGGATTTGGGTGTCTGAGTGGAGGGTGGGGTCCTGGAACCAATCCCTCACAGATATTGAGGTGTGTGTGTGTGTGTGTGTGTGTGTGTGTGTGTGAGAGAGAGAGAGAGAGAGAGAGAGAGAGAGAGAATATGTATGTATATGTATAATGGCACATTCTTTAAGATGCTTATGGCTTATGCATTCTGGCAGTATGGGTCCAGAATTGTTAAACTATAGAAACCTTCTTTATTATTCTCCTCTGTAGCTACCAGACACCTTAAAGAGAGAATATCCTTTAAGAGAGGTAGAACTGTCCCTTAACGTATCATAAGGAAGGTTTAGAAAAATTCCTAGAAATACTAAGAAATGTATTCTCTCCTTTCAGACATGGTTGGAAAAAACAATTATGATTCCATAAATAAGTTGCATAAGCCATTACCATAAATGATGTGACAAGCATGATCATTTCAGTTTTCCAGCACAATCTCTACAACAAATAGAACTCAATGAGTGGAAACTATTACTAGTATTATCTTAAAAATAAAGTAGCTGTTGTGCATGCTGGATCATCTGCAATATACAGATGTTGGAATGTTATTCTTCCCTTTAACCAGCTGTATCTACATATGAATAATTAATTATTCAACTAAATCTAGCACTGGTTATACTGTGTGTATGCTTGCATACATATATGTTTATATACATATGCACTTATCTTACACAAATAATGGATTTATTTACAGATATTCACACAAATTGGTTTCCGTGTGTATGAACACGTAATATCTCATTTCTTTTTCTTTTTCTTTTTTTTGAGACGGAGTCTTGCTGTGTCGCCAGGCTGGAGTGCAGTGGTGCAATTGTGGCTCACTGCAACCTCCGCCTCCTGGGTTCAAGCAATTCTTGCGCCTCAGCCTCCTGAGTAGCTGGGACCTCAGGCATGTGCCACCATGCTAGGCTAATTTTTGTGTTTTTAATAGAGACGGGGTTTCACCATGCTGGCCAGGATGGTCTCAATCTCTTGACCTCGTGATCTGCCCACCTCGACCTCCCAGAGTGCTGGGATTACAATCGTGAGCCACCGCACCTGGCCAATATCTCATTTCGTTGATGAAATAATCTTTGGATTAGTCATGGTTTGGCTCTGTCCCCACCCAAATCTCATCTTGAATTATAGCTCCCATAATTCCCATGTGTTGTGGGAGGGACCTGGTGGGAGATAACTGAGTTATCGGGGCAGTTCTCCCCAAATTGTTCTCATGGTAGTGAATAAGTCTCACCAGATCTGATGAGTTTATAAAGCGTTTCCCCTTTCACTTGGCTTTCATTCTCTCTCTTGCCTGCCGCCACATATATGTGACTTTTTGTCTTCCACCATGATTGTGAGGCCTCCATAGCCATATGGAACTATCAATCCATTAAACCTTTCTCTTTTATTTATTTATTTTTTTGAGACCGAGTCTCACACTGTTGCCCAGGCTATAGTGCAGTGGCACAATCTTGGCTCACTGCAATCTCTACCTCCTGTGTTCAAGCAATTCTCCTGCCTCAGCCTCCTGAGTAGCTGGGACTATAGGCATGTTTTCCATGCCCAGCTAATTATTTTGTATTTTTAGTAGAGACGGGGTTTCACCATGTTGGCCAGGATGGTCTTGATCACTTGACCTTGTGATCTGCCCTTCTCGGTCTTTATAAATTATTCTGTCTCTGGTATGTCTTTATCAGCAGTGTGAAAATGGAATAATACAATTAGTAAAATTTTCTAGATAACTGAAGGTTAAGTGGTGAAACTTTAAAATTTGAACCATTTTAATGGTGAAAGTACCCACATTTTACAAAGTGCTAGGTGCTCAAAGATGTTAGTAGTTGTTAGTATAAGAAATCCCAGAGCTTCCTGTTAACACCTACTCTCTCAGGGATGGGGATGTCTGGTGCTTCTGAAAACAATGCCTCTGGTGATAGTGCAAGAGCCTGGAGTGGGCCCAGGGATGTATCACTAAAATGCTGTGACCTTTGATAAATCACTTCCCTCAGTCTTGGCATCTGTTATATGGGAGGAATTTGGAATAGAAGCTATTTAAAGTTTTTTCTTCTTCATGGGAACTCTGAGTTTTGAAGATCTTCAGATTACCTTAGCATTTTTCTGGCAAGAGTGTATTCTAAGTCATTGCTTAAAGAAGAAATAGCAAAATGAACATCTTAAATAAAAAGAAGCTATTTCTGGCTCAGCAGATGACGGATTCCAGGGAGCAGCCCTGCCCAAATACTCTCAATGCCCTCGAAGTGTTCTGATGTTTGTAATCACCCATGACCTGCTATCTTCTTTTTGCTGAATATAACATTAATATTTTTTGAATTGATGGCTCTTTTTGGCAAGTAACATTAGGGACCCTTAGAAAAAACCATCAAATTAGAACAAACTAAGAACATTTTCAGAACATGCATTTTTTTACCCCCTCATGGCTGATTTTTTAAAAAAGCTTATTTCTGTGATTTCAACATTTATAATTAACTGCATGACAAGAGAAAGACCTTTATTTACAGCACTTTAAAAATAATATTAGCAAAGCTTCATAAATAATGGAATAAAAAAATTTGCATCGTACCTGCTGGATATAGTTTTTTTTTTAAGTGTGATCAGAGAGAATATAATGCTACCCTAAACAATGTTATATCTTCCAGTTTATTTGGTTTAAAATTTTAATTGTGAAGATTAGCTGAGACTATTAGGCTTATAATTAGAGACAGTCTCATAGAGAATGAGAAGTATTCTAGATCCAAAGCATTGCTTACTACAAGCCAGGCATGCATTTTTAATGAACCACTTGCTGAGTACCTCTGGGGAGAGAATTATGCTTACTGCTACATTGAAAGTAATGAGAAAAAATACAAGCAAGATACAATGTTTTCCTGAATATTAAATGACAAAAAGTTAAATTAAAGTCAATGGACATAGACATATTTTATTCTTTTCTGGATATGCACCTTAATTCTATTCTCCAAAAAAGGCTGAGTTTCATGGTGGGGGTTGGGGTGGTATGTGGTGGGTATCAGATTTTCAGATTTTCTCAAGATGATAGAAAGTTAAAAAGTGGCCTACAAAGGCCAAATCCCAAGTGTGAACATGCACCTATGTTAATCATGGAGCATTAACTAACTGAGTGCCTTTCCCCTACAACTATAACCACCTGTATTATACTTTCCTAGTTTAGAAAGGGAACCGGGGGCTTTTAACTTAGAGCTTTCCAGGGACAATTACCTTTAACCCCATATGGAAAGAATTTAACAAGAACACTCTAGCATAATAGTCACTAACAAGTATGGAACATTTGTATGTTCTAAGCAGCAAATTCAATGCTTCTCACACCTTCTCTGCCCTTTAATGAAGGTTCTCTTGTCACCCCCATTTTACAGATGAGGAAACAGGTTTAGAGTGAAACACTTGGCCAAGGTTGAGCTGAGCCTATATTATACTTTACACAGGAAATAAAGAGAAGGGATGAGAAGAGGCAGAAATGTCGACAGGTCATTGCATTCTTAATATACTGGCTAAATGAATTGCGGCACAGGCCTTCAGTCGGTCACTTGGTTCCATGGTCTTTGTCTTTTGAGCTGGTTTGAATCTATACAAACCTATTAGCCTCCACTCCAGTTGTAAGAGGTGAGGGACCTCATCTCTCCACCGGAGTGTGCTAAATGGGCGGCCTCTTCCAGGAGAGGCTACAAAACAAGCATATACATGTGCATTCACATTTGCTGCCAAGTTTTTGTTTTGGTCACCTCTACTGCACATTTTAATCTGGAGACGATTACAGTCCATTCTTGGAAGGGATAAAGGGGATTAGCATTCGTGAGGTCAGCTCTGACAGGGTCCCTTTGTGCCTGTGTTCCTGACCTCGATCAACTTCTCCCTGCTCTGTGAATAGCAGGCCCTCTGCTGCGCAATCAGCATGCACTTCAGTGAGCTGGACAAAGCAGGGGAGCAAGCCTCCCCACTCTATGTCTCCAGAGATCGCTGAAGTTAGTCAAATACCAATTGGATTAGGTTTTACAAATTGGTGGCTACCCAGCTTTTTTCTGGATGCAAGAGGGAAAGAATACCATTACTACCAACAATATCAAAATAAGTCCAGCGGCAGCTACCACTGATTTAATGCTTCTGAAGTGCTTTGCAAGTAATGACTCTTATACCCCACAACCACAGTGTGGGTTACACCTGTGTTTTCCAGATGGGGAGACTAGAACCAACAAAGGTTAAGTCACTTGCCCAAGTCACTGGTAAGTGGAGGAGTTGTGATTTGAGTCCCACAGTCCTGTAACTGCAGATTCCCCTGTACTGTAAGTATCTTAGTAACAATGCTCCAAAACACCTTTGACCCAAGCACAGAAGAGACTTTCATTAGTTATAGGTGAGAGTCTCCTGGTTTAGAAAGGCTGGTAGACACCATAAGAGGTCATCAGGATAACTCTAATATCTTTTCCCTAGTCCTTTGCTGGGGAGAAGGAGGGTGGTTTAGGAGCAGCTGCAACTTGTTCTGGATACAGGAGAGTGGCCTAGTGAACTTCTCGGCCCCTGCTATCCAAGGCTTATGATTTAGGATGCTGTTTCCCTACATGGGGATGCAAATGCAGGCTCCTGGGTCACAGTGGAAGTGCTTGAATTTCTTGTGCCAGTGCCTCATTTGAAAAGTTAGCTATTGTTTTCGGCATTTCTTGGAAAAGTTTGGAAAGATGCTGAGACAAGCAAAACAAGCCTCTTAGGACAATAAAATGGATGGGTGTACCCATGTTTTTATTTTTAAAAAAGATGTTAAAAATACTTGCAAAACTCCACAAAAGTGCTTGTTCACTCCTAAAGTTAGAAGTGCTTAAATCGAATGTTTTCCTTTTTTAACAGTTTGTGAAAAGACAAACAGCCTCCACTCCCGTGTTAACTGTAGCACTATTCACAATAGCCAAGGTACGAAGTCTGCCCAAGTGCCCATCAATGGATGGATGGATAAGAAAATGTGGTACATACACACAATGGAATATTATACAGCCCTAAAAAGAGGAAAATGCTGTCATTCAAGATGACATGGATGAACCTAAAGCACATTATGTTAAGTGAAATAAGCCAGGTACAGAGAGACAAATAGCACAGTATTTCACTTATGTGTGGAATCTAAAAACGTTTAAATCCAAAGTAAAGAGTAGTGAGTAGAACAGTGATTAGCAGAGGCTGGGGTTAGGGGGTGGATGGGGAAAGGAAAGCCATCTGTCAATGGGTGCAAAGTTTCAGTTAGACAGGAGGAATAAGTTCCGGTGTTTTCTTCGTGTGTGTGGCCTTACTTTTTAGAGACAGGATCTCACTCTATCTCCTGGGGTGGAGTACAGTGGCACAATCATAGCTCGCTGTAGCTTCAAACTCCTTGAGCTCAAGTGTTCTCACTTCAGTCTCCCAAGTACCCAGGACTACAGTTGCATATAGTCTAATGCACCTGTATTTTTTTCTGTGGCGTTCTATTGCACAGTATGGTGAGTATGGTGAACAACAATGTATTGTATGTTTCAAAATAGCTAACAGAGAGAGGATTTTGCATGTTCTCATTGCAAAGAAATGGTAAAGATCTGAGGTGATGGATAGGCTAATTATCCCAATTTGATCATTCCACAATATACATATATCAAAATATCATGTACCCCATGACTATGTACAATTATTATTAGTCAGTTAAAACTAAAACAACAAGTAAAAAAATACATAGGATCTCCAAGATGCTGTTTGCGCTGCTCTAAACATATCCCCCTTCTAGAGATAGAGCCAGAGGATGACAAGTGACACAGCTACTTCCTCTAGACCTAAGTACCTCAAGAGGCGTGTTCAGGGGAGCAAACATTTGCTCCATTACTGCCTCCCTAAAGTTAGCAAACCCTCATATCCCCTCAACACAGACCAAGTCAGGACAGAACCTTAGATAGTATTGTAGCTCATGGTAACCTCAAGGACAATGTAGTGCATCCCTTGGCTTGCAGATGAGGAGGTGGAGGCACAAGAATGTGACTTCTTAAGGTCCCTTGTCTGGGTAGGGGCAGAGCTGAACTCAGGACGTAAGTGGCTGAAGAACTCTTTTCACTTTCTGAACCACTGGGAGACATGCTCCTCCTGTACTTGATTTTGATAGTACCGTGCCTGTGACATTTGCCAAAAGGTACAGCTGATCATGTCTTCATGGATGAGGATGGCTTTGAGGATGAAAGGATATATGGCATGTAAAGCACCTAGGTGCCCCCACACAAGTGGCCAATAAGCAATAGCTCCTCACAACTGCAGCTAAGAAAAAGGTGACCAAACACCTAAGCACTGCTAAGGAGCTATTTCATGGAGCCAGTTTAAGGATTAAAGTCATCTGGCCATTTACCCACTTTATATTAATACACAGGCACACGCACATTCATAAAGACACCACTATGCTTTTGGGAAGGCACGTACCTCACTGTTGGCACTTTCCACAAAGGACCCCCCGAACATCGCCGCCATCCACTCACAGCTACAGATCAGCAGCGGCTTGTGGGCACTGATGGCTCCATCGTCCAATTTAAATATCACATCTGCCAAGGGATTGAGGAAACACAACCATGAGCCAACTTTGCCGAGAGCTTCAACCAAGGCTTCTGCTCTCGAATCCACCAACCTGCGTTTCTCTTACTCTCTCTTGAATGCCTTTACTTATTGATTTTATGTCATCTGCCATCTTTGGGCCTTGGCACATCCAGCTCCCACCTAAGGGAGCATGCATTTAACATCATCACATATAAAGTCAGGACCAAAACTTTCTGAACCAGAAAGCAACAGTAAAGAGGGAATATTTCTTCCTCCTTGCTATGCAAAACTTTAAGTATATAAAACAGTGGATAAATGATCACTCATTTATCCCTTGTTAACATTCTGGCATGTTTGTTCGATGTATATTTTAACTTATAACATTTTACTTATTAATAGTCAGAACAGTCTCCTAAATAAGCATACCATGATTACACCTAAGAAAAATCATTCCCTACTATCATCCACTATATAGTTCATATTCGAATTTCTCCAATTATTCCTAAATTGTATTTCATAGCTTAAAAAAAAAAGAAATAGAATCCAATTGAGACTCCCAGCTTGTATTCGATTACTATGCCTCTTCAGTAAGGAGGGGGTGATTTAATCAACTCTACCTAAGGCTCACTGTTTAAGTTACTGTAGGTTTGTAACATATTGTTTTCATGCATTTTCAAGACTATTTCTGTACCGCAATGGCCAGTGTTTGAAGTAAATATCACTCATAAGCTTTAAAATGAATGAACTGAGTCTTTAGTAACCACTTGCTAAATATGTAGTGCCCTGGCAGGGACTATAAAAGACAAAGACAAAGACAAAGGTATCCATATAAATAGAAGTCAGGAAGTCAACTTTTTACAATGAAATACACACACCTACACACCTATCCAGAGGACAATTTCAGAACAAAAACAGTACAAGTGTAAGACAGTACAAACATGGGTCAATAACCCATATTGGATTCAGGCCACCAGTGTGCTTAACAATTATGAAAGGGTACTGTGGGCAGCATGTGGTGTAGTTATCAAAGAAAACTACAGAAGTGCAGGGCCAAGGAGCATGAGGACAGAAAAGGAAAGGGGATGGAAGCAGGTGAGATGCCTTTTGTAGGAAGGTGGAGGGCCACCAAAATTGCCTCAAGGACTTTAGTGGCCTCAGGACTGGAAATCATTGATTTTTGTCATGGATCAGTGCTGAAGGGTCAGTGGAGAATAGAATTGGTCAGAGAATGGATTCTGAAGAGGAATTGTATGCAATGAGCCCATTGGAGATCGGTTCAGTGGTCCCTGATCCAGTCTTGAGGAGCAGTGTGATACCATGGTGGTTTATGGAACAGGTTTTGATACCGACAAAAGCTGGGTTCAAATCCTGGCTTCTCCATTTATTGCCAGTGTGTTCATGGGAAAATTACCTAACCTCTCTGTCCTCTGGTTTCCCCATCTGCAAAATGGAGACGATCATATTTAACCCTTAAGTCTGATGAAAATGAAGTTAATGCCTGTAGCTTAGAAAGGTATATGGGAAAAATAAGCACTTACAAATGTTAGCTATGGTCATGTCTGGCTAATGTTCAGTGAAACACAAAGGTATTAACGGCTCTGCCCTGTGGCGCACTCACCTGAGAATGTCCCCTTGCTGAGACACTCTTTTATCCGGTTGGCTTTCCTGACGTGAAAGGCTTTTGTAATCTCCTGGTTCATGAAGGCTTCTTTGTTCATGATGTTTTCCACCATCATCCTCAAATCGAACATCTCTAGGACCTCTGCGATCTGAGCCAGGCCCATCAAGTCCTTTTCCTTTTCATCCAGTTGTCCTGTATAAAGAAACTGGAGCAGGGTCCGAAAAGGGCCTGGCTGGACCGAAGAGTCCATCCTGACCACAGTCACGGGGCCCAACCGCTTTGAAATGGGGTTGACTTGCATTTCCCTGTACATGCCAACAAACCCCTTACTCCAGCCAGCCAAAGTCTGTGTCTCGGAAACTGTATCCTCAGCTTCCAGCCCCAGAGACTCCACCAGGCTCTTGTTTGAAGACTTCCACTGCTCTGTCTGAGGTGTCCTAGGGGGGCCTTCCTCCCTTTCCTCCTCTGGGTCAACACTCAATATCCGCCCCTGGAAATCTCTGCTCTGCTTCTCTTTCTCAAAAGCTCCTTCACTTGAACTCGGGGATTCTTCACATTCCATTAAAAACAGATCATAAAATTTGGAAGAAGAGGTAGCAAGGTAAATTCGATGTGCAAAGATGTGCTCCTGGTCCTCAAGGATGAACAGAACATCGGCACACAGAGGACTGTCCAATAAACAGGCAGCTTCCTTTGTCCCCGTGGAAGGGCACTCTGGAATTTTGATGACTGGTGGAGGGGCTTTTGGAGGTAGGAAGGGTGCCTGAAGTAAAGGTTTCTGGACTTTCTTTAAGTGGGATTTCCAGAACTGCAGGTGCCTGCGGGAAATCAGCGCTGCTCGGATTGCATTGTCAAACACATCCTTGATCCCAAACTGGTCAAACACGCTTGTTTCATAGTATGGTATGCCAAGTTCCTTTGCTACCTCTCGGCCTTTTTCTGGGGGCAAAATATCCCCTCTCTTTATGGGCCTGAAATAGAACATTTAAAAAATGATAATCAGCCTTATTTCAGGAAAAAAATAGTAACCAGGACCTATTTAATCACCCAATGGAACTGTATGCTGAAAACTCGAGTGAGGCTTTTAGTCTCTGGAAAAATCTGCCACCGCCTTAATCTTTCAACTATAAAGGAATTATTACACGAAGAAATAGTGCTTTCAAATATTTCATAGGTTCAATGCACAGATTTTACACATATTTTTTGAAGCTTATTCATAAATATTACACAATTTTATGTTATTATAAATGGCATTGTTTTTTAAATTTTATTTTCCAATTGTTCATTTCTTAGGTTATACAAATACAATTGATTTTTGTGTATTGACCTTTTATCCTGTTATTTTGCTAAATTGATATATAAATTCTGATAGCTTTTTGGAGATCCCTTAGGACGTTTCATTCACATGACCATGTTTATACTGTCATGTTACACGACCATGTGCCTGAATAGGGAGTTTTACTTCTTTAAAAAAATCCTCTCAGCAGCAACCACAGTAACTGAAGTATCATCCCTTTACTGGCTATTTGATCTTGGGTAAGCTACTAACCTCATTAAACATTGATTTTCCCATCTGTAAACGGGAATAATAATAATGGGTACTTATATCTTGAAGGACCATTGAAAGGTTTAAATAATTAGCATGACTATGCTAAGCATAGTATTTGGCCACAGTAAGTGCCTGATAAATGTTAGCTGTTACCATCATTATCACTACCATTTTCATCTCCTTCATCTTCATCAACAGCATTTTATGCTTGAAGTTTACTATATAACTTTAAAATGCATTTATATACATTTTTAATTTGAGCCTCACAATAGACCTGTGAGGTATTATTTTTTGTTGTACATTCTGAGTAAACTGAGGCAGAAAGGTCAAAGGTCACATTTGCAGGCTGCTGAGAGACCTCTATTAAGCAATTAGGGCCCAGACTTTCCCACTCCTAGGTAAATGATCCACTTCCTACAGCTCTTCTCTACTGGATTTGTGAATCTGCTTTCAAATCATCCCCTTCTCTTTTCCTCCACTCCCTTCTTCAAGCCTTTATCTTTTGCTTGCACTGGTGCGTTAGCCCCTTAACTAATCTTTCTTCACAGCCACTCCCCACATTTTAGTCCCCAGTCCTAACTGCTGCAAGAAAAGTCCTTATATAACACAACTATGACTTGGCAGCAGTTCTGTTTTAATTTCCTTTGATTTCACAAAGCCCCTGGAATAAAGTCCATATCCTTTAGGCTGGCACACATTTACAATCTAATCAAACCCTAGGAGGACAAAGTTTTGGAAACAGTAGACTCAGTACAGTGCTGGAGTTATGGCATAACCATGGTAAAGGCATAGATGGTTCCAGAACATGGGCAGGAAGGGCTTTGTTGTGACACTCATTACAAACACTTGCTTGATTCTAACACACACTCTTAGGAACTTATCTTCTTATATCAGTATTTAGCCTTCAACAGCAAAGGTAATATATAGAACAGGCACTGGTCTTAGGAAGAAAAAGATGATACTGGAGAGAATTTGAATTTGACAACTTGGATGGATAAGAGGGAAAATTATAGGGTGTTGATAAAGGTGGAAGGTAAGTGCAGGGAAGAAGGTTTAACTTCAAAGTTTGCTCCTGTGGGCATTGTGTTCCTTGTTCTTAAGACGGGCTTGAAATTTACCAACTGATGAAACTCTTCAAGGCTTAGTTCAAATACCAACTCCTTCACAAAATCTTCTTAGAATTGCTCTGCAGAAGGGACTGTCTCCTCTACTGTTCTCAACAGCTCTGCAGCTCTCCTCCAGTCCATGATTGGGAGGCCTGATTATCACAAGCTACTCTATACAGCAAGTTGCCGAGGCAGGGCAGTCTCTCATTCATTGTGGTCTTTCTAACCTATATGTGGCTCCTAATATTCAATTCCTAGTCCATGCACTTAAGAACAGAAAGATTGTAGAAACTGAATATAAAGTGTTTTTAAAAATTTAATGCAAAACATACCTAGAACACCAGAAACTGTGTAAACAAAGTACCATTTACTTTTGCTTGGAGAGCATAAAAAGTTGTGTCAATATAAAATTTTGTAATAAGCCTATTAGGTAAACTCAAAATAAGGGTTTTTTGGTTGCTGTTTGCTTTTTTTTTTTTTTTTTTTGAGACAGGCTCTGTCACCTGGGCTGGAGTGCAGTGGTGCAGTCATGGCCTACTGCAGCCTTGTCCTCCCAAGTTCAGGAGATCCTCCCACCTCAGCCCCTCAAATAGCTGAAACCACAGGTATGCACCAGCAGGCCTGGCTGATGTTTTTTAATTTTTAATTTTAATTTTTGTAGAGATGTGGTCTCACTATGTTGTCCAGGCTGGTTTCAAACTCCTGGCCTCAAATGATCCTCCCACCTTGGTCTCCCGAAATGCTGGGTTTACAGGCGTGAGCCACTGTGCCTAGCCTAAAGGAAGGTATTACTATCAAAATTTTTTGAAAAGAAATGCTCCCCAGCCAAAAAGGTCAACATTAAAAAAAACATAAAACGTTTTTTATAAAGGGAATTTGAGGGAGCTCACATTTTAAGAAACATATTTCCCCTTATATGGTTTGGCTGTGTCCCCACCCAAATCTCATCTTGAAATATAGTTCCCATAATCTCCAAGTGTCATGGGAGGGACCTGGTTAAAAGTAACTGAATCATAGGGTTAGTTCCCCCATGCTATTCTCATAATAGTGAGTAAGTTCTCATGAGATTTGATGGTTTCATAAAGGGAATCACCCTTTGCTTGTTTCTCATTCTCTCTCCTGTTGCCATGCAAAGAAGGACGTGTTTTCTTCCCTACCGCCATGATTGTAAATTTCCTGAGGCCTCCCAAGCCATGCTGAACTGTGAGTCAATTAAACTTCTTTCCTTTATAAATTACCCAGTCTCAGGTATCTCTTTATTAGCAGTGGGAGAATAGACTAATACACCCCACCAAAGTCAATATCTGCATTTTAAATATAGTGAAACAAATTCTCCTTCAAGTTGTATTTTACATTTGTGACACTTAAAAATATAACCACTAGAGACATTTAAAAAGTTGTATTTGTTTGTTTTGCAACTATAGGTCCAAATGATTTTCAAAAAGCGGACACTGTCATCTTGAGAATGAAATACTGTAACAGGTTGGACTAAGGAATACAAGATGAAAAACACTTCAATACATGTGTTTGTATAAACCTGATGTTCCCTGGGGCCCAGATGCCTCTAAGTGTTAACTTTATTGTAATAATCACAATTTCAAGGATGACATTAGTATGAGTAACCAACATTTTGTCTAATACTTTACACTTTACAAAGTGCTTTTATTCACATCCTTTCTAATTAGAGAATTTCCGTCAAGTGCTGGCCAATCATTTGACAAAAATGAGTTCTGACACCAGAGATGAGGGTGCCTATTAGAAGGGCTCAGGGCACACCCCTCATGATTCATGGGCTGACTTAATGCCCAAGGCTGATTGATGAGATCCAGGAATGCTGAAGAGCGGAACGCCAGGCTGCAGAGACACCTGCTGTCTATAAATCTGAACTTGGCCAGAACAGGGAAACACTGAGTCCCTTGGCTTACCTTGCTAACGGGCGCCTGGCTCTATTAACAGCTTCCAGGTCGGCATAGCGGAGATCAAGCTGGCACCCAACGAGGACAACGGGTGTTCGAGGGCAAAAGTGCTTGATTTCTGGATACCACATGGTTTTCACATGATTTAGGGAATTGGGATTAGCAATCGAAAAACAGAGGACCACAACATCGGACCTAAAAGGAAATCACAAAAGAAGCTTTTATTGCCTTTTAACATTTTGTTTTTTCTTTTACCCTTGTGGTTCCTCCCAAACCCCATCCTTCTAATGCCATCTCATGTCACAATTAAAAAAAAAAAAAGACCAGATATTAAAACACATCTCGGAGTCATGCAAACAGCCTGGTAAGCCCCCACATTCCAGCACCAACACAGCCTAACAGTTCATTTCCGTATCGCACTGCAGAATGCTGATGCATTGACGTTTCCAATGAAGTTATTTTATGGTAGAGATGGTTACCCAAACTTGCCTCAGTCCTAGAACCACAACATGCTGAACTATTTCTCTTCATCAAAAGAAATAGTTTCAAGAGAAAAGAAAATAATACAAACTACCTTTTACCAGTTTAAACAACATAAAGGTGATCATGATTCATCCCAATGAGATAAAGCAAACAGTTTCAACATTACTGAAAATGTAACAAGTATTTGCTGTACAGGGTCAGCAAATACGCAGAAGGATTTCTGCCCTTCTTCCCACTTATGCACACATGTAGACAGCATAGCCACTTATCTGTTTCCGAAAAGAAAAGTCCTGAATTTGCAGGAATTTTGACTCTTTACTAGGTAAGGCAAGAAGGTAATATTTAACATGTAACTAGGCAAGAATTAGACTGATGGCTAACAAAATGAGAAAATATTGGAAGCAGATTTTTCAAATGTTACATGAGATACAAAGCAAGTATATGGGGAAAAGAAAAACTGCTTTATCGTAAATTTTGAGATAAGGGTCTTTCACTTTTACATAATAACTTACCATTCTAGAAGTCAAATAACTATTTTGCAAAACAGTTGTCCAACTATGGTGTTTGATAAATAGCTGCTAAAAGGTATCTTTAATAGGAATTATAAACCATCATTCTAGGTTAAAATGTGCTGAATGATGACTTTCAAAACACTGAGGCAAAAGGATATAAAGAATAGGAGAAGTTATGCCCAAGGATTCAAGACTATCTTGTAGCTAAATTCAGAAATAAACTCTTACAATTTCATTAGATGTCAATTTATTGCATTTATTGTTTATGTAATGAGAAGAATCAAGTCGATGAATGAAAACACCTTCTTTTTAAATCATTAATGAGCTTTCCCCTCTACATATCAATGAAGACAAACAAACATATGCAGGCAACCATAAAATTTCTAAAAATAATCATTTGCAATGCAGAAAACTGCAGGGTGCTTACATTAAATGTAATTCACAAGCTGTGTCTTTAAATTTATATTCAAGAAAAGCTGCACCAGACCACAATAAATAGAGGAGAAAATCCTGGGATTAAAATATTTCCAAATTATACAAGAGGACCTAGGACTTAAAGTAGATGAATGTATTAATCTGAATGTTTAGAATCATCTTGAATAAAGATATCAAAGATCCTTAGATGCTGGGATAATATAAGTGAAAATATGCATAACTATATAAATAAAAAGGAAACATGTCTTGTCTTTGGGATTTGGATTTACTTAGTGGAATATTCTGTGCTCAGTCTTAGTTACAATCAGCATAAATAAGAGTATCCTGTAAAGCCAAGAATGCTTTGAATTTTACATTTTTTATGGGCTGAGTTTTCTATTATTCATAATCCTATTTATATCAGGTATCTGATGAGGCTCTGCTGTAAGCTTCATCCTGATCATAAAATAAAGCCACCATGAATTTTGGCACAGTGAGAATAGTACAACAATATTCAAGGTTCAAAATTATAGAAAAAGAATTGAAGAAATATATACAGCACCTAAATGTGTTATAGTATGTATAAAATAGTTCTAATTGGTGCCTTTTCCTTTTAAGGCACATGGCTCTAAGGGAACTCATTCTCAGAGCTTAATTTATATGACAGACATGTAGCTAAATGTCAATTCTGTTCTCGAATTTTATGATACAGCATGTGAGGTTTTGAAATCAGAGCTAGCTTGGTTGTCAAGGTTACCATGATAACACTCATGCTATTGAACACATACAAGTTGCTATCCAGATGACCTGTAAACAAGTACAGACAGGACCTTGGGGGTTGGAAAAAGGGAATCTTGTGATGATAGCAGCATAATGCCATCACATAATACAGGTCCTGAGGGCCCAGCTTCTAACTATGTCACATCAATATCTAAATGCATGAAATGCCATGGGGAAGCTGGAAAAATAATTCAATGCTCTGTAAATATTTCGCCTCGAAATGATGATAGTTAAAGAGAAGAGGTTGTGTTGAGAGCAGTACTACCTCTGAAGATAAAATAACAAATTATTGAGTCAAAATTCTATTTGTATATCAGAATAAAAGTCTTCTTTTTCCTTTCACCTTCACATCTAGGTACTATGAGAATCTGTGCTCATTATTTCACACTAAAAGCAGTTAAAAAATAAGATCTTTTTTTTTTTTTTTTGAGACAGAGTTTTGCTCTTGTTGCCCAGGCTGTAGTGCAATGGCATGCACAATCTCCGCTCAGCACAACCTCTGCCTCCCAAGATTCTCCTGCCTCAGCGTCCCGAGTAGTTGGGATTACAGGCAAGTGCCACCTTACCCAATTAATTTTGTATTTTTAGTAGAGATGGTGTTTCTCTGTGTTGGTCAGGCTGGTCTCGAACTCCTGACCTCAGGTAGTCCAAATGCATCGGCCTCCAAAGTGCTGGGATTATAGGAGTGAACCACAGTGCCCGGCCCAAGATCATATTTTAAGTACCACATTGCTTAAATGTCTTTTGGTTAACCCTTGTTGATCTAAATACAAACGCATTAAGAAAACTTTATATAAAGATTATACAGAATTCTATTCTTAAGATCTGCCATATGAATGTATTTCCCTAAAACCAATTCTAACCAAAAGGCTGAGCATTAGGAATGAATGGACACAGTAATAGAGCTATAGAAAGATGCTGCTTTGATTCATTCCTTACTAACATTCTTTTCTAATTCCTAATTCTCAACGCATCAGTATCCTCTGTGATATAAACACATATACAATCAAGTAACCATTTTTAGAATGCCAATTATTCCCTCTAGATTTTGAGCTTTTTTTTTAAACTAGTCAAAGAAAGCACAAGACCTGCAGCTAAGAATATCTCCAGCTTTAGGCAGAATTCCAAGGAACTAGAGATATTAAATAACTTTTAATCAAAACATTCATTCCCATGTGGAGACTGTTCAATGTCTGACATAAGCTCGTGTTTAAAAAATACCATTCCTCTGAAAGATAAAAAGAAAAAGGCAAGTTCTAGCATTTCTATTTCTATGGCTCTGTTACATTTTTTAACTTTGAAGAGTCAGTTTAAAAATAATTGGGAGCGGTGAGTGTGATGAGGACATTCTCACATATCAGGCAGTAGGGTTAGTCTAGATATAACCTCAGAGGTCCTGTTTCAGCTGTAAAAAGAATTGAATAGGATTTAAATGAAGTCCTACAGCTATTTGGGGTAGAAAGCATAAGAATTCAAGAATGCAGAGGCAGAGTACAGGGTACATGAGGTTGTAAATTCCAGAATCTGCATACTGAGAAGGAGTAGGAAGGGGTTTGGAATGTTTATTGTACTCATTTTTATTAAATATTTAATTTTTTACCGGGCTAAAAAGCTTTATTAGAGAAAACCAGAATTACAAAGGACTTAAGGGTATATGGTATTAGCTGCTTGCCTGTGGAATGTTTATATTTCAGAAAAAAAATGACTTCTTCTTTCTAAGGAGAAAATACCAATCTGAACATTTCACTGGGTACTAACACATCAAATAATGTCCATGAAATAATGTTTTGATTAGTCAAGTCAAAGGCAATCTGAAATAAATCGAAATGTTGAAACAAGTGGGCATCTTGTTTCATGGAGGAATGGGAGTGAGTCAGAGAGACCAAGTCCTCCCAAAATGCCTGAGCTGATAAAGCCAAGCTCAGTTCCATCAGTTTTACTTCATATATTAAACAAACATAAAAAGCATGTTATCTTTCGAGGGGAACACTGGCCAAAGATAGCGTGTGAAAGATTGGCAAGAATATCTGAATAACATAAGGAGTACATGCAGAGTTGGGACTAATCTTTGTTGGAGGATTAAAGAAAAAAATCCAAAAAAAGTGCATCTTACCCACATATCTTGGCCCTTGCTAGACTTTGAACAGCAAAATACCACACATGTTCTCAGAGACTGTCTTTATAATGTCTACAGTCAAATATAGCAGAGTTGGTGGGAAAAGACTGGAGAAGCTAAACCTCTTTTCCAATCTGAAATACCAAATTCATCCTTCGAAGAAGTGGTTGGAACAGGGTAATCAGTAACAAACGTTTACTGTTAAATGAATTTTCTTCTAAGTTCTTTCCTGTCACAGCAGTACTGTCTTCTTAGTCTGACTTTCCCTTTCTAGTCCCATCTACTTTGCCACTATCAACCAGCTGAGGAGCCGTGGGCCCTGGGTTTCCTTACCTGGTTAAGTGAAAGGATAATTCCAGCATTATCTTTTTATCTAGAAGCTTCAGATCAGGTCAATTTTACGGGCAATGAGAAGGATAGTGGACTCTATTGCGTTCTCCAGAAAGCTGTGAGTGGGATAGCCAAATGCCCTTCTCAAGTGTGTCTGGGTCCGGTTGGGTCTCTTGCTACACTAACACTTGGTGACCAAGAATGAGCTCATAATTATATATAATTATTAGAATATAGAATCTGGTTGCTTCTCCGATCTTTTCCCAACAACTCTGCTATATTTGACTGTGACGTTATAAAGACAGTCTCTGAGAACGTGTAGTATTTTGTTGTTGAAAGTCTAGCTAGGGCCAAGATATGTGGTTAAGATGCACTTTCTTTGGGACTTTTTTTCTTTAAAGAAAAATAATAACATATGTCCCAACTTGGCGCATATTGCTCTGTTGCCCAGGCTGGAGCGAAGTGGCTCAATCTCGGCTCATGGCAACCTCCGCTTCCCGGATTCAAGCAATTCTCTTGTCTCAGCCTCCCAAGTAATTGGGACTGTAGGTGCCCAACCA